CTGGCCCTGCACAGTTCTCCTTCAGGCTTTTTGTGGCAGCAGCTCTGCTGGGAGCAGCAGTGCAGGCTGCTGCTGGAGCTCGAGAATCCTGGATGTTTTCTGCTGGTTTGCTAAAGCTCACCCACAGTTGGGGCCAACTAAGAGTCAACTCTCCTTAAATTTCAAGAGAAGAAACAAATAAGTAAATATAAAGGTCTAACCTGCCCAGCCTAGGACAGAGCCATGGGATTTGCATCTTGTCCCTCTTCAGGATCCCCCCACAGCAGTAAGGGCAGTTATCTTTTTGTACCATTATTGCTAAATATTGACCAGAGTCATGAAGTGACCACCCCAAGCCTTGGGTATTTCACCCTTTTCCTTTTTTTTTTCCTAGCTATTAAAAATGGAGACATAGGTTTTTGAATGAAGGGGGAGCTTGTGATGTGGACCTGCAAGTCCAGAGATGAAGCTGTGACTTGTAACAGCACTTCTGTATTTCCATCTGTCCCCTGAACCTTGCTCCCTGTAGGGTTTGCTTCTAGCTTGCTCTTACTGGCTTGGTGGTTGTATAGGAAATGTTAATTAAGGAATTCTTAGGGCAGAGTTAGTCTGTAATTTTAAGCAGTGTAGACTATTTCTGTCTCCTAGTGCTGCCCACCAGCATGTGTAAGTAGTGCCAACCTTACGTGGGTGTGCTGAAGTGTGAGGAGGACACGAGAACCACGCTGAGATCTTTAGGTGAGGAGGGTTTGCCTGCTGCTGGTGTAGAAGGCATTAAGTGACGTGGATGCTGATTCTGCCTGGGATGCTGGGGAACTGGCAGATGTTTTTAAATAGTGAATGAAAAGGTAGTGGAGCATCTCCCCTGCCAGTGATGGATGGTACTGTGTGTGTGGTGTTGGACACGGACCCTACCCGTCCTGTGTGGCAGTTCCAGCTCCATCTCAGCCCTCCCAACTCCCTTTTTTGCCACGCTTTCTGTCCAGTAATCATTCTCAGAAATCACCCATTGGACCATTTCTCCATCATTTTGTGAAACTTCTCAGTAACAGCAGCTGTGGTTTTCAGCTTTGTCTGTTTTCAGTCTCACAATTCCCTCACTGAAAACGAGAGGAACATGTCACCTCTCTGTCACTCTTTTTAAAGAGCAAGGGACTTAGACACAGCTAGGGAGAGATCTGTAAAAATAGTCTCTTTCCTCTCCACTTGCCCCTGTAACATGAATCTCTCTTGAATTCTGTGGTGTTCTTGCTGGATTCTTCCCCCTGGGTGTGTTTTCCTGTATGCTGTGACTGCCTCTTGTCAGGATCTGGCCAGCATCATGCTCCAGAGGGCTGTGCCCACCGTGCTGCTGTCACCTCTGCCCCAGTGGGCACAGGGAGCAGCATGGAGACAGCTGGAGCCTATTTTGCCATCCTTCCTTTAAAAGCTTTGGTAGCATCCTTTCTCCTAATCCTGGGTTTAAACAAAGTCCTTTGTAAAGCTTTGGAGAGGGTTGGCTGCTTAGGAAAATGGAGCTGGAGTGACCTGTTAGCTCCTGGCTAATTGGATGTAAACCAGCTCAGCTTTCTTTGGTACAGCTAGGCTGAGAGAGACACTAATGAATATTCTGTTAATTCTTTTCCTGGGGAAAAGCCTTTCAGCTGTTAAATGTCTTGCCCAAGCAGGTAAGTACAGTGCTGCTGAACAGTGATTTTGGGTCCTGGGTCTTATTGTGTCACACGTTGTTTGTATTTCAGAAACTCTGCAGCGATGCTCAGGTGAGAGTTTTTGGGAAATGTTGCCAACTGAAGCCTGGAGGAGACAGTTCTTCCTCCTTGGACAGTTCCATTAATTCCTCCTCCTCGTTCTCTGATCCAAAAGAACAATGTCCAAAATACCAGGTGAGTCACTCTTTTTTTTTTCTCCCCCTAACCCGTGTCTAATACTAATGGCAAGTGAGGTCTTGGGTGTTTTACAGTGCTTGAATTCAGAGGCTGGCAGTGGAGAGCAGTTTTCAGTCAAAAGCAGACTTTGGTTCTGACTCAGTAATGTTTAATTTTGTAGCTTGGGGTTTGAACAAGTCTAAAACCAGCCAGCTGGTTCTCTCGGGATGTGTCTCGAATGGCAGCGATTTCTCCAGGGCGCCTGTTCTGTCCTATGACCCGGGTGATAACACATGCTCAGTCTGGTCACACTTGGCACCAACAGCCCATCTTGGTGTAGGTGAGGCAGTTTATTTCACTTTATTGCTAAATGCCAGGGAAACCAGAGAGAAAGGCGTTATCTGTAGGGATGGTCTGTGTAACAGCTTTACAACGAGGGATTCAGTGCACTGGGGTTACGTTTTACATAAGGGAGTTTGGCCATGAGAGCAGCTCCAGTCATCTGACACAGATGTATTTCTGTCATCTCTTCTTCCATGGATCACAAGTGTTTTATATTAAGCCACCCGAAAATAGAACTGAGCCCTTCCACTCTTTGTAATGAAGTAATTGTGTCTGAGGGAAGCTGCTATCTCCACAACCTGTTCTGCAGTACAGTACTACTGATGTCTTCATCCACCAGAGACAGAAATGAAGAACCTTTCAGTGCTGACTTTCCCACTGTCACGTTAGCTCTTGCTATATTTGGCAAGCTGCATATTCTTGTTTTCTCTTCCTCATCACACGCTTTTCCACAGCTTTGGTAAGGTGACTGAAGATCTGTTTTCCATTCCTCCCTTCCTGGAAGGGCGTTTAGCTGTGGTTATGAAAAGAAGAGATGTTTCTGTCAGCAGCTTCCTTCCAGCACAAAATAATCTCCTTCGTGCATTGTGTGAGCAAGAAAAATGATGCCCCCCACCATCCAGAAATTCTCTCTCCTACTGGGCAGGCTCTGTGCAAACAATGGTCAGCGTTATTAAAAGGAATTAATTTTGGGGGTTGGCACAGCAGTGTATTTCAAAGCTGAGGAAAGTTTTCCCTTTTCAGTCCCCGTTTCCTCGTGTGCATTGCATAGTCAAAACCTTCCTGAGCTTGCACTGAAATGATGGGTTCCTATGTGACCAGCTCAGGGAGCGTGCAAGAACCCTGCAGCTGAGGTTGTCTTTCCACAGCGTGTTCACTGCCAGCTGTCCTCTGCATTGCCCCTGCTCCTTCCAGGCTCCCCCAGCAAGAGAACATCCACAAACCCAAGAGTTCTTTACTGCACAGTAAACTTGTGTGTCATGTGTATGGAAAAGCCAGAGTTAAGTTTGTCCAGACATCAGCTTCTGAACTTCTGCCTGTTGGTCTGGTAACCTCAGAAGCTGCTTAATCTATTTGCAGTATTTATTCTTTTGTTTGTTAGTTTTTGAAAGCTAAGAAATAGAAGTCCAAAGACTAAAATGCTATAGGTCTTTTAGAATGGTTCTTTATGTTTCCTTGTTTGAATACACTTGGGCTGTATGTGAGCAACTTTAATTGCAAGGTGAAATACAGGGGTTTGTTCCAGGCTTGCTCCATGCTTTTAACTATACCCTATCCAAATCCCTCACAGATGTGATTAGAATTCATGAAGATGAAGCTGAATATGGTTCTAAGCTAGGCTGCAATTATTTGCAGGTTATGACACTAGTGTCCCCTCTGTACCTGCTTGTCAGCAAAGCCAGGACTGAAAATCTCTCCTGTTTGTTGATCACCACATTTGACATTTATTTCTGTACCTCATTTTTAATTTACACGTGTACTTAGGACCATATGTACAGTAAGTGGAATATTAAATGCTGTGAATGTATTCAGAAATTGAATTGCCAAATCATGCAGATTTTACTGCCTCTAGTATGCTAATTTGCAGTAGCAAACAGGGCATTTTATGATCAGGATTTATGTGAGCCCATAAAAATGACCTAGGGAGTTGGTTTGTGTCCAAGCTCTCAGTGTCAGAGGTGGTGCCCTTTCTGCCAGATGCTCCTTGGCTATTTTTTTGTTTGAGTTTTTAATATTTAACCCCTTTCCTCAGCTGATTGCACTCTACTTTGGTCTTAAGTGACCTTTATTTTGCAGTGTAAAAGGCCCAATGAGTTGAGCTGTAGCAGTGTTTCCATATGAAATGCATTAAACATGTGCATCTTTTGTTACGTATGGTAAAATTATTGGTATTAATAATAATACACTTCATTAAGAGTAGATGAAATGCCAGACTGAAACAGGCCATGGGTGCATCTTATCACTCTCTTTGCCTTCAGCATTGCTCATCTCTGTCTTTCAGAGGAAAGGGAAACCCCTATAATTAAATCTGAAAGCAGCTGATTTTCACTTGCCTTTTTTAAATTTGGTTGCTTAACAAAGAAAATCAATGCTTCACCTTAATAAAGTTATTTTTTCCTCAGCTTAGAATTAGATTTTCACAACAGCAGAAAGTTGAAACCAAAATGAGCCATCAAGGGCTTGACATTTATTCCTAATGAGTCCTTCCCTTGGAGATCTGCATTGAAAAATAACCATCATAACATTTGGCTGTAGTAATTTGCAGTGTTCTTACTTCAGGATTTCACAGTGCTGGCAGACCTGTCATTTCCTAGTGCCATGCACATCAGTGCTTCCATTTCCTTGGAGCTGCTGGGTCATGCTGAGTGATGTTCAAGTCTAGTTTTTCCAGTTCTGCTTCCAGTGCACCTGGGCAGAGGGATGTCTTGGGAGGGAACGAGGGAAGATTCTCTGAGACCCAGCTAATGAGCAGAGTTTGCCCTGTCATATGAACACGAGCAAACCTTGCCATTGTATCCTCATTTTTCTAACTGTGGTTGCTACTTTTAGTCATCCCCTCTCCTTCTTGCACTGCCAGCAGATTTCGGAGGTTAATAGTATGTCTGTTAAAGTACCATCATCTTAATTGAGAGTGCTTGAGAAGAGCTAAAAATTGAAAAGTGTTTTAAGTGTGTTGCCTTTTGGCTGATGAGCATTTCCTTGTTCCTGCCCTTGCTCTGCGGGTGGCGTGAGCAGAAACATCAAGTGGTCATTTTCTTATCACTCCCTGCTGCTGGTAGGGACCTGTGGTGTGGGCACCCTGCCCTTGGTTGTGCTCTGAGCAACCTGTCTGATGCCAGGCAAAATACTGAGATATACCTGAACTCTGGGCTCCCCAGTTCAGGAGAGACAAGGAGCTACTGGAGAGTGTCCAGCAGAGGCTACAAAGGTGCTGAGGGGCCTGCTGAGGAAAGGCTGAGAGCCCTGGGGCTGTTCAGCTGGAAAAGACTCAGAGGGGATCTGATCCATGCTGATCAAGGGCTAAAGAGCCCATGGGGGTCAAGAGGCTGGGGCCAGACTCTGGTCAGTGTTGCCCAGTGACAGGACAAGGGGCAATGGACACAAACTGGAACCCAGGAGGTTCCATCTGAACAGGAGAAGAAAAATCTTTCCTCTGAAGGATGCCAGAGCCTGGAGCAGCTGCCCAGAGAGGCTGTGGAGTCTCCTCTGGAGAGATTCCAAACTTGCCTGGACACCATCCTGGGCACCCTGTTCTGGGTGATGTGCTGGAGCAGGGACACTGGACAAGATGATCTCCAGAGGTCCTTTCCAAACCCCTGCCATTCTGGGATTCTGTGATATTCCAAGCCTGTGTAGGACTCTGGGTGAGGATCTTGGTTGTTCAGAGCTTGGATAAGAGGTACAGAGCTATGGCACTGAGCTTTTTCCAGACAGAAGGTTATTTCTGTGATGCTTTTAGGGACCTTCTGGAAAGATTTCTCTAATCAAGTGTTAGTTATCATGCACCTTGGAGGAAGCATACTGCTGTCTTCCACAGTACCAAAGAACTGTACCTGTGAACTGCCTGAGCTCTGTGAGCAATCAGGATATTTTAAATTACTCAGGGCAAGGCACAAGAGGAAAACCAGCATTAATGTTCTGCTAGCCTAGAGATGAAACAGCCCTGGATACAGGACAGTAACCTCAGTCACTGGAGGTATACAAATAAGAGGAGTGTCAGCTGAGCAGTCATCTCCAGTTGATTGCCCTGAGTAACTTTTTAATGCTGGGGTTTTGTTGGTGCTCTTTGGTCTGGCCTGTGATGCAGCTCAGTGACATTCCTCCTCTGCCTGCAGCCAGTGTCCCTCACAGCAAGCTCCTACCAAAAGAGAAGCAGGAATTGCACAACTTAACCCTGGCACCATGATGCCACAGCTCCTTGCTGGCACCATCACAGGAGTGTCGGGGAAAGAGGCATCAAATAGAAATTATGGATAACTTGTGAATCAGTTTTGTCCAGAAAGTGCTGGTCCAGCTTGGCTCCAAGGTCTGCAGTGAACTTGTGGTTCTTCTTGTCGAGCAGACATGAGGTTTAGGCTCAGTGGTTCTTAGTCAATGTGTGCTGCCACACTCCTAACACGTTTTAGTGCCCTGACTGGGTGCAGTTTGGACCTGCTTCCCCTCACCCCATGAGGAGGGGTTGGCTTTGCTGGATGATTTTGGTGCCTTAGCTCACAGCCAGTGTGGAGATCACTTTATGTGCTAGTGTCGTCTTCATTGAACTTTTCAATGTAGTCTGTTCAACAGTGTTACAGCAAGATATTTGCATGTTTATCTTTTAAATAAAGAATATTTTCCTTAGTTGTATGTAGCCTTTAGAGAAGGTTGTAAAATGCTTCACCCCAAGTGTTGGTGGTTTGTTTTTTTCCAGGGTTCTCGGTGCTCCTCAGATGCTAACATGCTCGGGGAGATGATGTTTGGCTCTGTGGCCATGAGCTACAAGGGCTCCACACTGAAAATTCACCAGATCCGGTAAGATCAACTTTTTTACTGCTGGTCTTTTCAGAAGACTTACTCCTTAGTCCTCATATGGAACAGCTGAGTGCCACACGTGTGGAGTAAAAGGGATTTCTGGGTTTGCTTTAGAGTTCCTCTGACGTCACTTTTGACACAGAAGGCTGTTATGTCGTGTTTAGCTCTGTAGGATCTGGAGGGTTGTGAAGTGGGAAGCTAAGCCTGCCCTGGCACTGTGTTGCTGACTGACATCTTCCCTTTTCTCCTCTAGCTCACCTCCTCAGCTCATGCTCAGCAAGGTTTTCACAGCTCGCACTGGAAGCAGCATCTACGGCAGCCTGAACACGTGAGTCCATGACAAATTGTACCTGTTGCACATCAGCAGGGGAATATAAGAACACAGAAGTTTGGTTTTTTTTAGGCACTCCAGATTCTTTCTCTAGAAAAATAACCGCTTGTTCCCTGATCTGTTACTCCCTGTCAGTAGTGTCCTCACCTCTCCCTTGTGGTTGTCTTCACCTCATTTTGCTTCGTGCTGGGGAATGAACCATTCCTTTAATGCTGATAGAGCAAAGCTTGATGTTGTAAGGTATAAAAGTACTTGCACCCACCAGGGGAGGAGGGATGAGGACAGAGCACTGGAGTTGGGGAATTCTGTCCAAGATGAGGAAAAAGGTGTTACATCTGGCTTCAGAGAGTTCAGTGTTTGGTTTTCTGTGTATGAATTGACCCCCCTGAGTACGTGGCTTAGGCTGTAAGAGCATTTCTTAGCAGAGGGCTGTGTTGTGTCTTGTCCATTCTGTTCAGGCTGTAGTGAAGGAACACTGTATTCTACTGAAATGCAAATCACTGTTTTGTGTTTTATCTTTCTAACAGGCTGCAGGACAGTCTTGAGTTCATTAATCAAGACAGCAATACCTTAAAGCCTGATCACAGTACAATTATGAATGGACTTCTTGGGAATATAGGTAATGACAAACATGTTTTATTTCTTGGTATCTTTTACTGAATAATTGTTGATGATAGAACATCCAAGTTTTCTAAACAGAATCACAGTTTAAAAAGCAAGCTAAAGCTGTAACAGAAAATTAATGTTGGTGCAGTTTGGAAGAGAGTAATTTGGACAGTTCAGGGAACTGGCAACAGTTTAAGATACACAGGTGTGTATGTCTACATCAAATACATAATAGAAATATTTAGATAGACTTGAGTTCAGATACAAAAAATGTTGGAAAATAAGTCTTTAGAACTTTCTAAGAGCGTATCTCAAATCGGGCAGGACTGATTCTGCCTGGCTCAGTGCCCCAGTTTTATTCTTGATGATGATTTTCATTCTGCCCTGAAGAACTTTTCTGGCCACCTGAGCACCCGTGGTTCCTAGAAGCCTAAGTTCACCTCACAGAGCTGCACTGGAGTTTTTGATGAAATTAGACAGAATATCTTTTTGTTCTCTTTCTCTCTCTGCCTAAGCTGTCTCAAGTAAAACATCTGGCTTTTTGGTTCTCAGCATTCATGGAGGAGCTGTGAGTGAAGGCTCCATGAACATGAGATAACACAACAGGGGGAAGGTCTTGGCTTTTCTCTTGGGGACAGTAGAGCTGATAGGAAAGACACTGTGTGTCAGTGCTTGGCTGTCCAGTGGAGCAGCCTGGTGAGCTCTTCAGCATGTCCTCCCTTTCCCTTGGTTTAGATTACAACAGACATTTACTTGAAAAGTCAGCAGTAGGTGGAATAAGTGGCTTCTTTTTACATTAGCTTGCCAGAGTATTGCAACTAGAGCAGGTTGCTCAGAGCCCCATCCAGCCTGACCTGGAGTGTTTCCAGGGATGGGTCATCAACCACCTCCCTGGGCAACCTGTTCCATCATTCCCTGTAGTCCCACTTAGAAGGGAAGCCAATTAAAGTTGTAAGAACCTATTATCTATTAAATGCTTCAGAGGAGAGTTAAAAAGATGCATTTCTCTTAACATTCAGTATTCCTTTCAGACTTCACTTGTGATTTTTCACAGTGTGTGAGTGAATGAGGTGTCCCATGTAAGAGAGACCAACTCACTTCTTCACCTTGTGGGGTTTTACTGTGGTTTGTGCTTGGCAAAAGTTTGCTGTATCTAAACTGCAGGTTCAAATTCAGCCAGCACAGCTATTAGGTGTGGACTCGGGATGATTTAGGTGTAGCCTGTGCCACACGTTCCTCCGTGTCCAGCTCTGTGGGCGAGGGTGACCCTTCCCCACCCAGCAGAAGGGATCACTGCTCAGAGATGCAACGGGCATGCAACGAGCAGCAACAGGATTGCCTGATGAGGATGCTGAAACTTTCTGTTGAATTGAGCTGCACAAGTTTTCTGTGGGTTCCACAGTGTGTGTTTGCAGTTCCTGTCTCAGCGCAGCGGGCACCAGGAGTAGAGGAGGTGAAGAAGTTAATCTGTAACTGCAGCTTTCCTAACTGCTGTGCTCAGCAGCAGGGACTGCCCCTGGCTCACTGGCTCTCACCAGCCCGTGACAGGAGCAGGGTCTATGTGGTTTGGTTGGGAACTATTTACAAGCTGCTTTTTTTAGATATGCTGGTTTAAAAAACAAAACAAAACACGCAGCAGCACTGGTCATATCCTTTGCTTTAGTGAGTGAAAACCTAAGACAACAGGAAGGGGGCTTTGCTGAGGTGCAGCCTTTGCATTTTGTATCATCAGAAAACTTTGAGTGAGCAGTAGCTTCAGATTTAGGCAGTGAACTCATTAAAAATACCCATGCATTTTTCCTGGCTCTGCATACGTCAACATGCACTTTCCCTGGTATATCTCCAATCCAGTGTTAGTTTTAAAATGGGCTACTGGGGCTTTTAACATTTATTTTCCACATGATCATTTTGCTAAAGTTGGTGAACCAACTGTTCTCAGCACAACCACTTCAGCCTAGAATTCTCTGGTGGTTCTCCCAAGCTGAATTTCTGCCCCTAAGCTGAATCTTCTCACCCTTCCTCCTTGTCATCTTCCTCAGCCACCCCACCAGTGGGGGTGTTAAAGCAAACATTGTCCTCCCTGATGAATCTCCTGTCTGTGATCAAGTCAGGCTTTGAGCCTGCATAAATTAATCATTTTTCAACTTAAAAAAAAAAGTACCCTTGGAGAGAAACCCCATCCTTGTATGGGAGACAGTGTAAAGCTGGGTCTATTCTTTTAATTCAGTCAATACTGTGTAGTCCAAGTGTAGGCTGTGAGCCTCGGACCAACGTTCTCAGACATAAGAGCTGTTCTCTCTGCATTTATGTTGGCTTATATCTTCTCCTCGCCCTGGCCCCCTCCCTCCAGACTGTTCTGCTTTACTAACCTCATTCTTTCCTGTGTATTTTGCATTTTGCTGTGTAGGTCTCTCACAGCTTTGCAGCCCTAGGCGGGCGTTCTCAGAGCAAGGTCCGCTCCGCCTGATCCGGAGCGCCTCTTTCTTTGCAGGTTTGCCATGTGCTGTGTGCCGTGCTGTGTGCCTAGTCTAGCTGATGGGACAGCACTGTGGGGGGTCCCAGCTGAGCCCTGGAAATAAGATTTTAATGTTTTTGGGTTTCTTTTGAAATACAGAACAGACAGCGATGTCTGCTCTTGAACCTTCTCGGATAGGTGCTTTAAAATCAGCAGGCGTTTTACTGGCCCTCTTTGGGGTGGGTTGGTTGTGTCCTATTATTTTGGAAATTTATATATATTCAGTGCTGGATTTCATGTTTCTGAAAAGAATATTCCACAATAGTGTCAAGCTGTTTCAACCCACCTGTAAAAACTAACCTAGATTAATTTCAAATGGGCATTTCTTGCTTTTAGTGACTGAGTCTTATTTCCACGGCTGAGTAGCTTTTATTTCACACATATAGTAGTCAATTATATCACATTTAAAGACTATTGAGCCTGAGACACTTTTGATCTTGTGTTATATGCAGACTGTGGATCTGGACAGCTTATGGCTTAGCTGAACAACCAATGCACTTCTTGTAACTTAAAAGTATTTGTTTTCTTCAAAACAGCATTGTCAAATCCTTTTAAAATTATAGATGAATGTCTAATACCCGAGAAGGCTGGTTTATGAACAAAGTCATGTTTCTATTGGTTTCTGGTGGTTTTTTTTGCCTATACAGAGTACTACCAGTGTGACCAACATCTTTTTGGTCCATTAAAACTTAATTGAAAAATATCTGTGTAAAGAAACAAAGTGTACTGGTTTTAGTTTGGACTAAAATGGGTGTCTGTACCTCAGAAAAATACACACAAGCTTTTCAGAGAAGTGTTTTGGCTGGCTCAGCTAAGCATCCTTTCTTGGTGATGGCCTTGTGCAGTGCTGTTGATCTGAATTAATGAGCATGTTTTTGTTTCATTAATTACGTGGAGATCTGCAAACAAGAAAGGAACTGTATATTCCCCTGCTAATTGGTATTCCTTGTTTTACAGTTCATAGCAACCCTATGGATATGCCTGGGAGGGAGCAGAGTGAGGACAGAGACAGCGGTATAGCAAGATCTGGTAATGTCAGTTCTACCTGTTAACCCTGTAGACTCCAAAAATACTCAGTAAATTCACCACTGAGGTGTCTAGACATCATCAAATCATTCTTCCTGTGCTGAAATGTGACTGTTTTGTTGTGGATAAGCATGAGTGCAGACCTGTATGTACGCCTACAGATGTTGTAGGTGTCAGGGGTGTTGCATGAGGAGCCTCACAGAGGTGATGTGTGAACACAAAGAAGCAAGCCAAATGAAATATTGAAATGAGTTTGCAGCATTTCCAAACCACACTTGCTGTCACCTCCTTTTCAAATGGAGGTGGGTAATGTTAAGACATGAATTCCCCTCCACAACACCCCTCTCCTCCCCCCAAATTCAGGATATTGGGCACTTAGGCTAGGATTGGAAAGGCTGTTAAAGGATGTGATGAATGTTACTCCTTTCCACAAAGAGCTGATTTCCAGATACTCAGGGTTGATGAGCGAGCTGCAGCCTCTACGTTGCCCATTATGTAAAGCTGCAGGACTGTCCCACCCTTGCAGTGCTTGTCTATCTTGTTCATGTTATTATAAACTGGTTATTTTTAGATAGGAAACATAGATAAGCCAAAGAGAAGGCACTCAAGAAGCAACACCAGTTTCTCTTGAGGGACTTCGTTTAACCGCTGGTATTATTTTCCAAACGCTCTCCCTTCTGGAGAGATTTTTATTGATTCCTCTTCTTATTGCAGCATCTCTCAGCAGCCTGCTCATCACCCCCTTTCCATCTCCGGGCTCCTCCTTTAACAAGAGCTGTGCCAGCAGCTACCAGCGGCGCTGGCGGCGCAGTCAGACGACCAGCTTGGAGAACGGGGTCTTCCCTCGATGGTGAGCTGGGAGTGGAGATGCCTGCAAATTCTCCTCCCTTGTCAGAGTGATTCTGCCCTTGCATTGGTCCCTCTGCCCTTGCTGTTGCTTTCTGTGGGGTGTTTACAGAGCTGGAAGTCAGGCTGCACTTCCAGACTGAGCTTTTTCAGTCAGTTTTCTTCATGGCATTTAAAGCTGGCAGTGGGCAGATTCAGGCTGGATGTGAGGAAGAAGTTCTTCCCCATGAGAGTGGTGAGACCCTGGAATGGGTTGCCCAGGGAGGTGGTTGAGGCCCTATCCCTGGGGGTCTTTAAGGCCAGGCTGGAGGAGGCTCGGGGCAGCCTGATCTAGTGGGAGGTGTCCCTGCTCATGGCAGAGGGGTTGGAACTGGGTGACCCTTGTGGTCCCTTCCAGCCCTGACAGATTCTGATCTGTTTTAGCAGAGGACTTAGTAGTGTTGGCTTGATGGTTGGACTTGATGATCTTAAAGGGCTCTTCCAACCTAAAGGATTCTATGATTTGTTGTTTTGTGCTAACCCAAAAGCTTTCAGCAAAATGTAAACCCACAGGCTGTACTTCTGAGGATAAGAAGCCCTAAAATCCTACTCAAAACACAAATTTGTGGCAGAGATGGGAGAGAACTAGAATACCATGTTCTGATCCCACAGACACCTTGAAGGACACCCCAGCTTTGGCAACTGCAGGATCAGTTAATGCTTGCTTGTAAAAAATTGGAAAGTAGATGCTATCAAAGGTGATGATTTGACATCCCATGCAAACAAAAGATGTTTCTTGAAGTTAAATGTTCAAGAATTGGATTACACAGGAAACCCAAGTACAACTTTAAGCAGTGGATTACGTTAACTTTTTTTTAATATATGTTTTCTATATTTTTTCATGCTTCAAGGTCCATGGATGAAAGCTTCAACTTGTCAGATGACAGCTCTGGTCCTAGCCCAGGGATTGTTAGGAAGAAGAAGATAGCAATTGGAGTTATTTTTTCACTCTCAAGAGATGAAGATGAAAACAACAAGTTTAATGAGTTCTTCTTCTCACACTTCCCTCTTTTTGAGAGTCACATGAACAAGCTGAAGAGTGCAATAGAACAGGTAAACACGCTCTCTTTGGATTCTTACACTTCTCTTGCTCTGTGTTCCCCCAGCCCTGTCAGATTTAATTCCTAACTCTTGTTACTAGTGCACACAAGTGGGATCAGCTCGCTGTTGGGTGTTGGAATTGCACCAGAGAAGAGCTTTGCTCCACAGCACCTTTGATGTCTCTTAGTGCTAGCCAAAGCAGCACAGGGGGAGGACAGAGTGTGCTGCAGTGCACTGCAGAGCTCCCTGCCAGCCCTGGATCAGCCAAGGGGGAAAGGTGCCTTGGAGGCCACCTCTGCTTCCTGCCTCAGCTGGATCTGAGTCTAGAGGACCACAGGGGCAGAAGCTACCTCTAGACTATTCCAGGCTGTAAATAAATATTGAGCTTTTTTCCTTTCTCTTTTGTTTTTTGTTGTTGGTTTTTTTTTTAACCCCTTGGTTCAGGTGTGTAGGGGAGTTTTCAAAGACTGAAGTTTCAAAAGCACGGTTAGATTTGCTTCACATCTCTCTCCTAGGAAATACTCAGTGGTTTCTTTGCTGCTGCAGTGAAAACTTTGACCCCTTTTATGCCTTGAATGCTGAAAGCACAGAAGCAGCAGAGGCTGCAAACGCATGGGCCTCACCTGTCTTTCCTCAAATATGAAAGTTGGCACTTGTACCATCATTTTATCACTTAAAAAAAATATTTGCATGACTAGTTGCACGAAAGATTAAGTCAAACACATGACTTTGTTTTCTGTGCTTTTGTAGCTATGTGTGACTTATCTGTTTAATGATTGTTTTCAAGGCTATGAAAATGAGTCGTAGATCAGCTGATGCCAGTCAGCGGAGTTTGGCATATAACAGAATTGTTGATGCCCTGAATGAATTCAGGTGAGCAGTTTGTCTCCTGTCTTTTCTGTCTGCTTCTGCAAAAGCACTCAGGTCTGGTTTAGGACCTTCTCCTCAGTGCAGGATAAGTGACTTATAATGTCTAAAGTCTTCTGCAAAAGTAAGTGCAATAAAGGTCCTGGTGATAGCGAGCTGTTACCATCAGTGTGTGGGTTTAGGTTTTGCTGAGTGTGTGTATCCACTGGGGCTTGCTGTGGGCAGGACACAGATGATCAAGGTTTGCTGTGTTTTAGGTGGTAACAAAGCTCCCAGCAGCCTCTTAAATTGTCTTTTATGGCCCGTGGAGAGGGGGAAAAGAATGGCAAAGCCATGCTAGGGAAATCCTCCACTAGTGTATATTTTCCTGATGTGTGAGCAAAGCACGACCTTTCCTGTGCTCTCAATTCTGCTCTGAAGGCATTGCAGGTAAGCAGCAACTTGGGAGGAGGACTCTTTTTCACACTGTAAAATGCAATACTGTAATCTCTTCCTATCAGTGCCTGCACAGTGTCTCTGTTCAACAGCTAACAGAGAGAGTAGCACAGATAAGCAGATCCCTGGCATTTAACTCTATTTTCTTTCCATAGTTTAAGTCATGGGGAGGGAATTAAGATGAAATCCATCTGTTTCAAGTGATTCATCTCCTCTCAGATGGGAGTGGCAGGCTGCTTCCTTTTACAACCAGCACAGAGCTACTTTTTAAAGACGTGACAGAAGACTGTGCTCTGATGTTGTGGGAAAAAAAATCCTGACATCAGGGTGTATTTTACAAAAGGATTCTGAGGGCTCACTGGTTTTTCTGCAGTTCCACTGAGCACCTGAATGCCATGGATCAGGTGGTGGTGCAGGGGGAAGGCACGCTGTATATTTTTAAAATTTCTTTTCATTTTTTAGAGCCTCACCTCCAGGCTGCTGCGAGGAAGGGCAGAGGGTATGTGTGGTAGGGATGGGAGGCAGGGAAGAGGGAGCACGTGGGCCTGCGGTGAGAGCTGGATGGGATAAGCAGTGCCAAGAGAGCGAGCAGAGGGAGCTCGTGACTGCTGGGAGCTGCTGATCCTGCCCAGGGGCCCGAGACAAGTTCAGCAACTCTGAGCAGCCACGGTGGTTCCTCTGCTCCCCTCTTCCTGCCTCCTGATAACACCGCCTCCCCTGCTGTTTTCCCAAAACTTCCCCCAAAACATTCCCCCTCAAGATACATGCAGTGGACTTTGCCCGTTCTCCTTTGTCCTTCCAAGTTAAACAGTTCCAGAGCGCTGGGGAGGGGCGCGAAGCCCGAGTCAAACGTAGGAAAAATAACCCTGAAGACCCAGGCCAAATCCCCCTGGCTAGTTTTGATAACACCGCCTCCCCTGCTGTTTTCCCAAAACTTCCCCCAAAACATTCCCCCTCAAGATACATGCAGTGGACTTTGCCCGTTCTCCTTTGTCCTTCCAAGTTAAACAGTTCCAGAGCGCTGGGGAGGGGCGCGAAGCCCGAGTCAAACGTAGGAAAAATAACCCTGAAGACCCAGGCCAAATCCCCCTGGCTAGTTTTTGCCTCCTTGGAAGGAACGAGGGGACCAGGAAGGCTGCTCTGGTCAGGCTGGGGAGGGAAATAGTGTCCCAGGGGCCATGGGAGGGCTGGCACCGTGCGGAGCTGCTGTCAGAGGCTGGTTCCCATGACACCGCCGGTGCGGCACCCCCACCCGCAATTTTTTTCCGTTGCTTAACCCACACCGGCAGCCTGTGTCCAACCACCAGTTCTGTGCAGGGGTTTCCATGGTGATATAAATATTACTCTTTAATAGTGTAACAAGGTAAATTAAATCCAGTGTAATTTCATATAAATGAATTTCCTGGGGCAGCAGACTTCGGCAGTTGGGGGGGGGAAGGGGGTGTTGGTGTTTTGAGCGAGCGGGTTGAGGGGTGCCCAGTTCACCCCCAGCCTGGGCCGGTCCTGCAGGTGGGCAGCAGCACCCACTGCCATCAGGAGAAGCCCTTCTGGACCCTGCCAGAGCCACTGGCTTGTCTGAGCAGTGCAATGTGTCTGGTAAGGAAAAAAAGCCTATTTAAATACTAAAGGCTGGATGCAAAGATGCTTTGGCACAGGTTCAGCAAACCCATTTAGGCCACTATTATCTCTTTAGGCGTCTGCTTTCCCACTGAAGTCACGGGGAAGTCAGGAGCCCGAGTCCTTTGGTGAACCTGAGACTTGTGTTGATTCCTGCCCTCTTAGCAAATTCTGCTGGAGGGAAGAAGGGTGCTGACTCCAGTGGGTTGGTGTTTCTAAAACATAATCCTGGGCTGGTTTAACTCACTGCAGTCCTTATTTTATTTTTTAGGCTTATTTTTATTTTTTTAAACCCAGCCTTTCAGGGGTTCTCACATGTAGCTGATATGCACTCTTCTGACAATCAGAATAACCTCAAATCACTGGGGCACAGGGGGCTGATCAGAAGGGGGAGTGTGATGGTTGTTGCCATAGCCTCCTGCCACCCAAAAGTCCCCTCTGCAGGGAAGGCACTGTGGGTGTAGGTCAGCCTGTTACTGTGAGGAGCTGCTGCAGGGTCAGCCAGACATTCACAGGCATTGACCTGCCTGTACTGAGGGCTGGGAAGTAAAGATGACAGCAGAACAGCCCCTTCCCTTGCCCTTGTCTCATCCTGGGACAAACAGAGCTGCCTTTTCCAAAAGGCCCACACTGCTTCTGCACGTCGATGCTCTTGACAAATTTGCCATCAGTTTGGTGCCCAGCTCCAGGCCTAGCCTTGCATCATTATTCACTTCACAGCAATTTTTAATTTTCTAAAGCACTGATGGATTTAGCTATTAACACTTGACTTAGAGGCTTAAACCTCTCTTTGCATGTCAGCTGTGCAGACACATGACTTACGAAATAAGCTACTGTACTTGCATAAACATTTTGGCTCCCCCGGGCCCTGGGGCCAGTGCAGCACATTGATAATACAGATTATGCTCCTGACTAATACCTGTGTGGCAAATAGGCAGCCTGGCAAGGGAACACTGAACGCAGGGCCTGGGGAAACACCTCTCTCTGCTCCCTGGCAGCCAGACTTGATCCTATTTTATGCTGGTAATTTTTAAGCAGCTTATGCCGCTGTGAACTGAGCGGTGCCAGCATGGGCAGGAGCTGCAGGGGCTCCCTGCAGCAATCACTGCCTTCCTTTTCCTGGTCCTTTTTCAGGAAAAAAAAGGTCTTCAGAAGGCAGGAATGAACATAGGGAGCAAATAAATGCATGTGAATTAAGCTTTATGAACCACTGATGGTTTTTCTGTGTTTTTTGAAACAGCCCCTAAATTGATGCAGAGCTTTGCCATTAAACTGCAACTCCTCGACAGCAGAGCAGCTCTCAGCTCAGCACTGAGGGTCAGGATCCCAGAATCCCAGCACAGTGGGGTTGGAAGGGATCTCTGGAGATCATCTCATCCAACCCCCCTGCTCCAACAGGGTCACCCAGAGCTTGTTGCCCAGGCTCGTGTCCGGGTGGATTTGGAATCTCTCCAGGATTGGGACTCTCCCCAGGAAAGGAACCCCCCCAGCCTCGCTGGGCAGCTGCTCCAGGCTCTGGCATCCTCCACAGAGGATAGAATTTTTTCTTTATATTTAGGTGGAACCTCCTGGGTTCCAGTTTGTGCCCGTTGCCCCTTGTCCCATCACTGGGCACCACTGAGAAGAACCTGGCCCCATCCTCTTGACCCCTCCTGCTCTTAAGCTGTTGATGAGCATTGGGAAGATCCCCAAGTGTTTCCCCTGGGGAGGAGGGGGCTGCAGGAGGGATGTGCTGATCCATGAGGAGCCGTCAGCCTCCTTTGGTCTGTTCAGAGCAGCCTTGGAGCTGCTCCACGTTACCCCCTGCTGCTGGCCCTCCTGGGAGGGGAGCACAGCCTGGTCACAGACCTGGTTGGTCCTGCAGCCCTGGGCAAGGGCTGGGCAGGTTTGGGGTGTGTTTGGGTGGGTGGACGTGGGGAGCAGCAGGAGGGTGGCTGCTGTGGGTCTGCAGACAGCCAGGCTGCTCCAGTGCCACCTGCACCACAGGGCACAGGAGCCCCAGGGGCATTGTGCCAGGCTTTGCCCAGGGCTGGTTGGCATTGGGCTGGGCTTTGTTTGCTCTCAGGCCACTGTTGGATGTGAAGGTGTTTCCTGGGGGGCTCCCCGGCCCCCGCTGCACCCATCGCAGGTGCCCATGAGCTCCAGGCTGGACTTCAGCCTGCAGGCAGCACTTCCAGCTAGAAACCATTTCCAATTTACTGAAACCCTCCAAAGAGCAGAGTCTGCCTTAACTGGAGCTCCCCTGGCCAGGGGGGCAGGGCTGGGGGGCAGGGCTGGGGGCTGCTCCCCACAGATGGCCAGGAGGAGGCCACCAGGTTTTTCATGGCAGTTTTTAACACCCAGTGCACTTCCCCGTAGCGCTCTGCAGGGTTTTGTAGTCGAGTTTGGAGCTGGGTTGGGTTTTTTTTTGTTTGTTTGTTAGGCTTTTTTTTTTTCTAGTCGTTTAATAAATGGCAGGAGAGTGTTTCCCCCCCGTGTTTGCAGAGCTGGAGAGCAGTTAATCCTTGCCCTTGGCTGCTGTGCCATTGCTGCCTGCGCTGGCATGGAGGGTTCCCTGCACTGCAGTCACATGCCTGCTGGCCCCTGGCCAGGGCAATCTGATCTGGCTGGGAGGAAACACTATCAGCTGCAGATGCAGCCAGGGTTACCAGAATAGTAAATAACGAATCACAAGACTGGGTCTATCTTTTCAACGAAAACAAATCTTTCAGTATGTTGGTTTTAGTAGAGAAGGAGTTTCTTTTTTCAAATTAGCTGAGCTGCGGGAGGCTTGGCTTGGCTTAGTTTGCATATGCAGGAGAAATAAGTTCTGTTTTACATTAAGGTGTGAATTTATCTTCAGCTTCTACCGTCAGCTGTGTCTGAGGGGTGGAGGGTTTGAGCTTTGAAACTGGTGGAGCTTTGAAGTCCCTAGACTTGGGGTTTCTCCCTTTTTTTAGGCTTCTGACATCCACTCCAGTTAATGGGCTACGGAGAGAAAACTTTCCCTTAGTATTCCCACTTCCTCTAGTCCCAACTCCCTACTCCTGAGGCATGAAATCCCAGTGCTCCAAGAGTGCTGTGCTGCCAGAGACCCGTGTTGGCAGAGCTGGAGAGCAGTTAATCCTTGCCCTTGGCTGCTGTGCCATTGCTGCCTGCGCTGGCATGGAGGGTTCCCTGCACTGCAGTCACATGCCTGCTGGCCCCTGGCCAGGGCAATCTGATCTGGCTGGGAGGAAACACTATCAGCTGCAGATGCAGCCAGGGTTACCAGAATAGTAAATAACGAATCACAAGACTGGGTCTATCTTTTCAACGAAAACAAATCTTTCAGTATGTTGGTTTTAGTAGAGAAGGAGTTTCTTTTTTCAAAACAGCTGAGCTGCGGGAGGCTTGGCTTAGTTTGCATATGCAGGAGAAATAAGTTCTGTTTTACATTAAGGTGTGAATTTATCTGCAGCTTCTACTGTCAGCTGTGTCTGAGGGGTGGAGGTTTTGAGCTTTGAAGTCCCTAGACTTGGGGTTTCTCCCTTTTTTTAGGCTTCTGACATCCACTCCAGTTAATGGGCTACGGAGAGAAAACTTTCCCTTAGTATTCCCACTTCCTCTAGTCCCAACTCCCTACTCCTGAGGCATGAAATCCCAGTGCTCCAAGAGTGCTGTGCTGCCAGAGACCCTCTGACCCACAGGACTGTGTGCCAGGCTGTGCTTTCCTCCCAGGGAGGACCAGCACCTGAGGGTCATGTAGAGCAGCTCCCAGGCTGCTCTAAGCTGACCCAGCACACAACAAGCCCTCTGGGTGCTGTGGGTCTGGTAAGCACAAAGGGGACTTGACTTTCACAGAGTCCCAGCACGGTGGGGTTGGAAGAGACCTCTGGAGATCATCTCCTCCAATGGGATAATGTGAATTTTTCCCTTGTAAAACAAAAGTAGCTACTCTAGAAGAAATAGTGTGTTAGGTAGGGACAAACCTGAACTGATCAGTCATTTCTGTGCTGTTTTGGTTTTTTTCCAGGCTTACATTTTTACTGTGATGAAAATACAGGTTCCCATAATGTAGGCATTGTACTTAAAACTCTAATTCAGTTCAGAGTTTAGAGGAATTTAACAGTAGTCTCAAGGGGTTTAATTAAACCATTTTAATGGTTTAATTAGCCCAGGTTCTAATAATACATTTACTGTCCTCTGTAGAGTCAAAAAGGATGTGGGTAGGTGTGTAAATCTTGAAACCATGGGGGGTGACTTTGGCAGTCCTTCACTGTATTTAAAGCTGAAGGAGTAAGCTGGTCCCCTGCTCTGCCAGGCTGCACTTTGCTGGGTTGGGCCTAGAAATACATCAATATTTGAAAGCAGGGAGGAAGTGAAGGTATTTTTCTAAGTCAGATCCACCAAAACTTGCCCTAGCCATGAATCGAGCGGAACTAGGGCAGATTTACATGTTTTGAATGAAGTGGAGAGAAAGCAGGGAGAGAAGAACAACCAAAATCATCCATTTCTTCCCCATTTGGAGCAGGGCAGCTCTTGGCTTTCGACAGCAATTGTTACTGTGTTTGGAATCAGCTTAGGTGGACTCGGGAAGAACCTGTGAGGCTTAACTCTCTGAAGTGGAAGGCTGGATTTGTACTATTTAATGAACAACACATTTTGGGTAATGGTTGATCAAAGAAACTTATCTTCTGATAGAAGTAACAGCTGGAACTAAATACTGCAGTAAATTCTTTGAGTTGGCATGCCTGCCTTTTGTTTTTTGGCTTACTCTTCTGGATTTTTTGCTTCTGTTTTCCAGAACGACTATTTGCAACCTCTACACCATGCCGCGGATTGGGGAGCCTGTCTGGCTTACCATGATGTCAGGGACACCAGAGAAGAACCAGCTGTGCCACCGCTTCATGAAGGAGTTCACCTTCTTGATGGAAAACGCTTCTAAAAACCAGTAGGGTGGATTTTAGTTTTTAAATGATCTACGTGCTTACGCCGTCCCGTTCCAAACCCACCTTTGGTGCTGCTTTTAAAGCCCGGGGAATCGACTCAAAAGGCCTTCTGTAAATACCTTCTTTTTAAAACAAAAAAAGGAATAGGAAAGTATCTCATTAAATGCCTGCTTCCCCACAGTCCTCTGAAGCTTGGTAGAGGCTGAACGCTTGAAACAGGTCCATAGGAAGCGCGTGATGGGCGTGTGTGTCTGGATGGGGGCAACGCACCTTATGAAAGGCATTAATCTCCCTTTCAAAGTCAGCTATCATATGATGAGCAAGGTTAGACGTTCAGCAAGAGTCTGTAACGCTGTCTGACCACAAATTGCTCCGAAACCTGCCTTCTGTAGAATGCCACTGGAGAAGGTGTCTCGTCAGTGCTCACCTTTCTGCCCTCCGGACAGAGCCGTGAGCGGCGGTTAAAAACTGAGGAAGAATCTTCTTGATAAACTCAGGAGAATCTGATAAAATTGCTCTTTTGCCAGAGCTTCATCCTCTTTCCCCAGGGCACGAATAAGGGAAGTTTTTAAAGCTTTTGGCTCCATTGAAGTCCTCAAACGAGCCCAAACACGTGAGGGTTGAGCGGGAATGGCTCTGAAACACCAGCTGTTAGCTGCGGGGCAGCTTCTCTGCAGGGGGGGAAGGGGCTGCTGCTCACCCTCTTCCAGCTTTGCCATCAGCCTTGTCACCTTTTCCCTCCCCCAGATGAGAAGGTGACAGTGAGCAGTCACAGAATCATTTTGGTTGGAAAAGACCTTTAATTTCATTGAGTCAGCATGATTCACCTTCTCCTGCCTCAGTGCAGTGGGATGAACCGTAGGGATGTGCCAGGGCTTCAGATGGCTTTTCTTAAAATCAGTTCCTGCTGCAACAGCAGCTTTTTCCTGGGATTAGCCCTTTTGGTCCCTGCCATTCTAGGCCCTACACATCTTGGTTACATTTAAATGGACGTTTGTTTGGGTTTCTTTGCTTGCTTTATTTTAACCATAATAAGATTGACACCGATGGAAGCGAGAGGAAAATGAAGCCCCACGTCCTTTTCAGTCCAGGTTTAAATCTGCTTTCCTCCTTTGGCTACCTCCAGTGAGGAAACGGCTGGATTTAAGCTGTAGGATTCCTGATGCTTGTAAACTACTCAAATAGTGTGATTTTGGCATTAATTGCTTAGCTAGGGAAAGCTGTTTTCCCAGAGTAAGGACACAGCCCTTCTGGCTGAGCTCCAGAGCTTGGGGGGTTATTGTTTCTGAAAAGGAGCAGCCATGGGTGCTGAAATTGCATACCAGGTAGGTGGGAGAACACAGCACCTCGCACAGGTTTGGCAGCAGTAGCTTTCCTTCTCCCCCACAGCCACAGATCTCCAGGGTCTGGGATCTCCTTGCAGTACAAAGGCCACCCGGTGCCACTGCGTTCTTACAAAGCTGGGTTTGAGGTGTTTTACAACATAAAGCTTGCAAAATAGGAAGTCTCATAATAATTGCCAAACAGGGGAACTGAGGTGCCACACGTGTCAAATATTTCATTTGACTTTAATATGTTCTTAAAAAGAGCTGGTCAGGGGGGAGGGTACAGCCCTCCTTTCTCTCCCCAAAGAACCAAGACCCAGAGGGTTGATCTCTGCCGACTTGGTTGGGTTGTTCCTGCAGTCCTGGACCCCTATGGACTGTAGAGCTGCTGTCCAGGGTGTACCTGGAAAAAAAAGCCAAACTGTTGGACGTTTTGCTTGCAGGTTTTTACCAGCTTTACTGACTGCAGTCCTGACTAACCACTTGGCCTGGGTCCCGACCGTCATGCCCAACGGCCAGCCGCCTATCCGCATCTTCCTGGAGAAGCATTCGTCCCAGAGCGTGGACATGCTGGCCAAAACCCACCCCTACAACCCCCTGTGGGCACAGCTGGGTATGTGGCAAACACCTTTTTGGGTTTTATGGATGCTTGTTACTTGGGGATGATGCTGTTGATAAGCCTGGGTCTGGAAAGAGCAAATCAAGGAAATCCATCTTTTGATACGAACTGAACATACTCTCAATACAACAGGCAAAGGAGTGACCCAGTGCAGGAAATCCTGAGCAGGCAACCCCTGGGTAAGATCTCAAAACCTAGCTGATGAACTAGTCATTCTGTCTTTGCTCTGGGTGAGGTTGGCTGGGGCTCTGAGCACGCTGCTCTAGCTGCAGATGTCCCTGCTCCCTGCACGGGGTGGGACTAGGTGACCTTGAAAGGTCCCTTCCCACCCAAACCAGCCTATGATTCTAACTGCTGAGTAGGGAAGAGAAGAAGATGAGCTTTCTGCTCTCTGGTCAGGCCCTGCTCTGCACACAAGCTCTCGTGGAATTTGGTTTCCTAAGGGAAAGGAAGGTTTTGGGAGGCTGCCCTTTTCTGGTACAGGCAGGAATGGTTCCAGGGATGGGGCAGCCTGGGCCAGGGGCTCACCCCCCTCAGAGGCCTCGGGTTGGATCCCTTGTCCCTGCATCCCTGCCTTCATGCAGTGCCCTGGTAGCTCCAGAACAACACATGCACAGGCACTTCCCCAGGGCACTCTGGAGTCCAGTCAGATCAGCCCATCCACCCCAGAGTGGAGCTCCAGGGGAGGGAAGAGGAGGTTGACACCAGCGTCGCACCCGCCACTGTCACTTTCTGCCCTTGGCCTTGGCATAGGTCTGTTTCTCCTTCCAGCTTTCTCTTGGTAGGTAAAAGTTCAGCCCCATTTCCAGACTGTCCAGGGTAATTCAGAGCAGATGCCTCCTCTCTCCCATGGCTATATAAGGAACCTGGGAGAGGAACCTTTACAGCTAGGCACTGAAGTTAGGTGGTGTGAACAGTCCCTAACAGATGAGATCAGATGTCGCCCTGACCCCAGCGTTTGATAAGGTCTCCTTGACCTTACACACGATCCCAGCAGCATCTTTGGGATTCTCCATGTTGAAAAAAAATTCTAGCATAGCTGTCCTCACTCTTCTGCTTTAGTATTTTTCTGTCGTAGACCTGGCCTTTGGAAACTGGCCTCAAGCAGTGTCTGTTAGAAGAATTCATTTAGTTTGAAGATGCAAAATAATGGTTTGTTTTATTTCCTGTTGTAGGTGACCTCTATGGGGCCATTGGATCACCTGTGAGATTGGCAAAGACAGTTGTGGTTGGCAAAAGGCACGACCTGGTACAGAGATTGCTTTATTTCCTCACTTACTTCATCAGATGCTCCGAGCTTCAAGAGACCCATCTCCTAGAGAACGGGGAAGACGAAGCCATCGTCATGCCTGGGACTGTTATCACGACCACGCTGGAGAAAGGAGAAGTGGAAGAGTCTGAGTATGTGCTTGTCACCATGCACAAGAACAGGGGCAACTTGCTGCCCAGCGAGTGTGAGGAAATGAGAACTTCTAACTGCAGCTGTAAATACTGCAAATGTCCCGTGGCCCTGGCACAGGCCACGGAAGGTGTCCCGCAGCCGGACAGAGACGATGCACAGGACACTCCTCAGGCAGAGCTGGAGTCTTCCTCAGATGAGAACAGAACCATTGTCCCTGACGACAGCCAGGAGGATGCTGTGGAGGTCAAGCAGCCGAGG